TTGCTCCTAGTATAAGAAAAAAAAAGACTTTTAAGCCACTGTGTTATGTACATTTTTAACAGCATTCCTCTAGAAATAGCTTTGTAAGAAGCTGAATTGAGAACTAGGTATTTAAAACTACACTCAAGCCTAAACTGCATAAACATAGGTAATTGCAGATTAATATTCCACTGTAATAGTTATGCTGAGTTAAAGTTGCCATGGGAAACAAGCCTGAATTCCTTCACTTTTCAGCAACTCACAATCATCCTCAATAAAGGTTTTGGCAGGTGATATCTAATGCAATCAGCTTAACAGCCACACAAAAATGGTGCAAGACTAAAGCTGCTATGTGGGAATGTCTAGGTAAAACAACTACGCATGGGCACATGCCCTTTATCTGCCTCTGGGTAGGATTCTGACAATGTCTGTTACTGTGTGAGACACCTTCTCCATTCCCATCCTGGCCCTCAGCTAGGATTGCCTTGATGCAGCCTCCACAGAGAACCCTGTGGACAGCATGCAGATACCTTGCAGCCTGCTTCCCAGCACACCAGCGGTCCCCTCTGCCACCTCCTCCTGCAGCAAGTTTGTGATTTCAGGGTCATACTCCTCCTATCAAGTGGTCTTAGCTACGGCTACCGAGGCAGCTTCCCCATCGCCCCCTATCCAGTCACCCTGAGCAGAGAGCTCGGCAGGGACTGCGCATCTGTTGCTATGGCCTAAATCTGGTGGAAATCAACATCCATTCCCATTACAAGGTCAGTCTATAAATCACAGCATATCAGGAGCAGAGACACATCATTCAGTTATCCCTGCCATGGGAACAAGACTGTGGGTAGAGCAGTACAGGCAGCTGAGAGGCAGTGATCATCACAGCCACTCCAGCTGCACCTGCCCGTGACTGTGAGCTGGAACCACAAGACAGATGTTTAGGGGAAAACACCTGCAATGCTCTTTTACAACAACACTCAAGGAAACACAGGCTGAACCTGATTTAACCTTCTTCTGCATTTGTACTTAATACTATCTTACAGAAACACTGGCTCCCATTTATCAATATGCTTTTGCCAATTGGGAAATGCACTATGATCATCCAGATTTGTTTGTACACTTAAAAATAAATTAGTAAGTGAGCATATGCTTAGTCAGACTCCGTGCTTATGGTTTTATGTTGAAATGGTGAGTGATGTTTTGTATTTATTAGTATGTCCAGTTTTATCTCACAGCAATTATAATCAAAAATTCTCCCCAAATAACAATCAAAATGCATGCTAAACAAACCTGAAATGTGTAGGATACCCTAAAGAAAAATATCAAGATATTTTTGTATTTAAAATGCACTGTCTAAAAGAACACGGAAAGTATCGTCTGTAAAGAATTTATTCTTCTGCATCTTGTCACAACCTCCTTCAGCAATTAGAAGATCTGAACATTTTATATCTTCCCTTTACAAAGACTTTGGAAGAGGCAAATTTATAATTTCCAACTGATTATCAAATTTGAGTGAATCTGAGACATTGAAAAATCTGACACGAGAAAAAGCAACTTCATTATTACCAGAAGCTCATTAAACAGCTTAGCACCTCCTTCTTCTACCAGGTCAGGGGTCTGATACTTTTTTACACTTCCAGGCAGCAGACATACAAAGCTTGAATTTTCATTTAAGTAGCTTTAATAGATTACAGCAGAGATTAAGATCCTATGTGGTAGGTTAGTTCCAAATTCAGCTTTGAATTTCTACCTTCAAACTTTTTACATTTAAAAAAAGCACCGCTTTTCACCCACTCTGCTGAAGTTGAAGTCAAGATACTTGGCTTGCTGACTGAAAGAAGCACACCCTCTTACAGCATTAATAAAATAAGGTTACAGGCAGCCACAGATCTGAGCCTGGGGAGCTGCTTAACAGTGTCAGTGAAAGCACTGACCACCATAAACACTGGTGCATACAAGGACAAAGGGACAAAAGAGCAAGACTCCCACTTATTAATGCATCTTCTCATGTGTAGCTAAAGCACCATGTCTACCCTGCTCTATGAGCTGACAGTGTATAAAAGCAGAAGGTACTTATAAACTCTTAGCAGACAGGAAAGGAAAAACTCAGAGCTGAAAAATGAAGCACACTACTACCATCATGGTTCAGAGTCCACCGACCTCTGCAGAATGACAGCTCCCACCTGACCCCGCTGGGCTCTGGATCACATTCCAAAGGCACAAGGTAAGCTTTAAAGAGATGCAAGGGGTCAGCCATAAACATCTCTTACTGCCAACCCCTAATGACCTTTGGCTGGCTAAAACACTAGATGACAGACTGTGCAGTCAACCCCCACCTCCCCATATTCTTTTCTCTCCGGGATGGTTCCTTTATTCATAAATATATCCAAAAAACCCATAGAGCTAAGCAGTTTCTATGCGTATATAAACATGCACTTTGATTTAGGGGCATATCTGCTGAAAGCCACCAGAAATCAGGGCTGCAAGGATGCATCCGTTCCTTTGTGGGTGTAGGGCAGGGAACATGAAGGACCCTCAATGCCTGACCCAGCAGTAGTAAAGCAGAGGGCAGCAGCCACAAGGCACTCAGCCAGCAGTCCAAGCCACTGGAGCCATAATGCAGACAGTTTCCCAGGGGAATACCACTGTCCTTGACCCTCCTTGATCCCCATTACGGAGGCCATACACGAGACCTCAGAGAGAGATCGGGCACTGTGAAAGGGAATGGAAATGAAGGGGTCTTCAGGGCTCCCAAATGAGCATGAAGGACTTCCCCAGGGACAAAGCCAACGAGGCTGCTGGTTGCAGAAGCGCACAAGTAAATACAGCAGGAGGGGGAGCAGATGTGGCAGTCACATCTTATCTTAGTGTAGATACAAACATAGCTCTTTCAGTAGTTTCTTTTAAGAAGCCAGAATATTTTGAAGAGCAGTTAATGAGAAATGTGAAGTGTGCTGCACAGAGGCAACTGCACTCTGCAAGACTTTTAAGCTGAGCTGGCTAAATTTATAGCTATGCTTAACCACTTAAAGTAACCAGGATCACAGCTTAGCTTAGCTCTGTATAGGCAGCCTCCTCACTGAATCCCAATGCACTTGAATTTCATTGTATCTAGACTTCTATTATGCAGATATTAAAACAAAAGCAGAAATTATCAGGTTCACAGTGAAGATCAGCACCTGACCATTCCTAGCTCCCAGGTCTGTTGACAGACCAAACCTCCAAAACCTGTCTGCCACTACTCCAGTGAAAGATCCTGCCACTAAAATCTTGCAGAAAACATCACTGAAATACATGGCAGTTTGCTCACCATGACATACAGCCCAGCAGGGAAGAGAACAAAAGCCACGCTTGTCAGCAAAGAGGTATGAGGTAGGTAGGGGCAACAACTAAAGTCTTATTTTATAAAGTTACCAGATTCTGGCAGGCACCTTCAGCCTCTCCAGCTACACCGAGCCCCATGTAGCAAAAGTTCATGTCTTTATTTGTCAAACTAATTTGTTGGTGAGGATATGAGGGACTGACAGACCTTTCCATACATTATATGATGCACGCAGGCACGGAACACAGCAGACTGGAAAAACAACACTGAAGAACATCTCCACTTTAAAGGTACTATCTCACCAACAAAATATATAGCAGATCTGCATTGGCCCAGACCATTACTTTCCCTGGCAAGGACTTGGGGACAAAGCTCCTTAAAACAGTAGTAATCATATTCCACTCATGCTCCTTTTTACTGCCAGCTGTAAACTAGCTCCACATGCATCATGGTTTTGCATCAAAATGTGCACAGACCAAACCCATATCCAAAGGGACAAGGTAGATCCAATTTACAGCTTTGACAGGTCTGTGCACCCGAGGCGGAGCATGCAGGAAATAGCCTGACATCTCACTTGGAGAGCCGTTAAGACCCTGCTAGCAGAACTGGATGCAGAGCCACAACAGCCCCCCACAAAGATTCCGCAAAAGAGCAGGGAATTTGCTGTCCATTTTTCAAGAAACACAAGAGGCAGACAGCACTCACCAAGGCACTACTGGGGAAGAGAGGAGTCAAGTTCAATCCAAACTTGCAGCAACCCTTTGCTAGGACAAGACCAAGGGAAATCACAACTGCACTGGGAAATGAAGACACTGCATCGAGTCACTTCAGTAATGAACTACCACACTGAAAACCGCATAAGCCTTTTGTATAGTCAAAACGAAGCAAAGAGATGTTATTCTGACCCAAAGCAAGTATTACCAGGGTACATGCAGGCCAATCATTTGGCAGAGGAGGGTGAGTTCAATTTAGACTCAGAAATTCTGTTTGCACACTACCAACCAATATTAGGGTTTGGGGTTTTTTAGTACAATTTTCCAATTTAAATGGAAAATCCAGGCCCACCCTGCTGACAACTGAGAATATATTTACTAATATGCTCTACAGCATTATGGAAAAACTGTGTGCATAAAAACCTCTGTACTTCATTTGGATCTCTGTACATCTCAAGTGGTAGAGCACTGAAAAATCTCTGGACTCTTCTGGACAGGAAGCTGGACTCTTCCTGTCTCATTACACTCCAGAGTTAACACCCAGGCAAGTAATTTCAACAAGATCAGATAGCTACAAACTTGTTCTTCTCTACTTAGAAATACCATTATGCTGCACATATTCCTATCATTCAAACTATTTTTGCCTAAAGTTATGCATTACCAACAGCCTTTTTCCTTGCAGAATCAACAAGGCTGCTAACTACCAATGAAAGTTCCCCCGACCAAAATTTTTAGATCCTCCCCAGTTCAGACAGATGACAAGTATATATGACTTAAAGATGTTTTCGGTAACACATGAATTGTCACTTCCTTGATAAATATTCATTCAGTCCCGGAACTGCTCCTGGGACAGCACGTGACTGGCAAGAAACAAAAAGGAGGTGGGGCAAACCAGAGAAAATGAATGAGACAGTACCATGCTTTTTTCCTTTTACCTGTCAGAACTGCAGCAGCAACTTGCAAGGGGATGCTTAACAGGATTGACTGTTTACCTGAGGATGAATCTGTGGTTTATCACATGTAGCCTCAAAATCCAGCACTAAGAAGTAGTGATATCTCTGTGGAGGGAAGGATGACATTGCTGCCATGGAAGCTCCGAAGCCGTGGGACGCCAGTTTCCTGCTTACGATGGAGCTGTACTCTTTGAGAACACCAGCTGGGAGGCGCGGGGACACAGCTTGTCTTGCCCTTGAAAGTAAGTTTTGGGGAAACTTTGCTGCTCCAGTATGGAGGAGTGCTATCATTGAACATCCAGAGGCATCTGAAACTGAAGAGAGACTCACGTTACTCATGCACACGTATATCTCATCTCTGCTTGTATCTGCTCACTGTCCTCTGATATGGATTTCCTCTGTGCTTCCTCGTGGAGGTTGCAGCACCGCAAACCTGAAATAACACAGTAGCCTGCTCGAAGCATAACAGATGACATTTGGACTGAGCTTAAGGTGTCCAGAATTGCAGGCAACTGGAAATTAACCTCTGCAAACAGTTCTAAATTAATACTATGAGACACACAACAGTCATGGCTCCAGGCACCAGATCACACCCCGCTGCTGA